ACCTTAGCCTGGGGTACCTCAACGGAATTGGTGCCCCAAGCCTGCATGGCTATACAGATGCATGGTTTCAGCTTACTCGTCTGAGACAGTCAGGAGGACTCATGATGCAGAAGCCCTACAGCGATGTGGTGCTTTCAGCCGTGTCCAGAATCAGGAAATAATGAAAAACATTGTTGAGCTGCTGCCAGGGTCGGGGGCAAAGGTGGCAGCAGTGGTCTTGGCGGACGATGAAAGCATGGATGCCATGATGAAGCACAAAAAGAGTAACTCTCATGGATCGTCCTACGATCAACAAGATAAGCAGCATTGACAGTTCCGCTTCGCTCGTATGGTTGTCACTACCATCCTCGCCGCACAGAAGCTGAGCGTTTAGTCCACCTGACATGCTATCAGCGGTTCTTGAAGAAAATGACCGCGATCACACTCCCACTACCATCATCACCATTGAGCTTCACTAGTCCACAGTGCTCTAATTCGACGATGAAGGATGTGGAGATTCGAAAGCTGCGCCCTCATAACATCCTAAGAATGCAGACCATATAAACTCGAGGCCCTCAACAGACTTTTGGCTGGTGAGCTCCTGTGGCTGCGTCGTGACTCCTGGGTGGCAAAAGCATTCTAATGTTTAGGGCTTGGGGTAACAGCAGACGGTCTGGGGATCCGGCTACAAGCAGACAAGCGGATGAGCTACGTGCTACAGCACGGAAGTGTTGCTCAGCGAATAGGAGCCCACAAGTTGGGTGGTGGAAAATGGAACCTGGGGTGTTCGCGCAAACAGCTATTGTCTGCACTCTTGGCTGTAATCATGTTCCCTGCTGTTTCTGGTAGGCGTTAGGATCGATACCAAACCTAAAAACCTACAACCTAAAACCCAAGTCGAAAAACTTGATTCCAAATGAGAAGTCATGAAGAAACTGACTAGCTCGTCACGGAGGCATGGGGCTCCTCGGAGCTATGCTCGCCTTTTGTCACACGTTCTGGTAACCCTTTGGACCAAGGCAAGTTTTGAAAATGAACCTTGTGGGATCCTTTATGAGGACCCACACGATCCAGTTGCAGCCCCTAAATCTGCCCAGGGTCCTCAAGGGCCACTGTTCACGAAAAACCCTCCATATTGCTTGTCTGAGGCTCTGAGGTGGCATTCGTCTCTTCATCCTCCTGAAGAGGGCGTGGTATGGACATGCAAGGGTCAATCAGGCTATTGGTTGATGTTCCTTCTGTAACTATTGGGTCTTTATTTTATAGGGTTCAGCCAGGAATCGAGAATCAAATGGAAAATGAGGTGGAAACTGGGTAACCCTGAACAACCACCAATTCAATACATTGACATTGGTCCTACCTGGTACAAATACGGCTACTGGAGTAGCACCTCAAGATGATGTTGGTAACTTCTTACGCCGCTACATTGACCTGCGTTCTATGAGATGGCATCTGGGTTCAAGAAGATACGCCAGGAGGGCGCTGGGAGGAGTTTAACAGATTTCCTCATGTCGAGCTGGAACGCAATTGGGCATATATTATCACGGAGGGTGCTCTGGGAGCCCGCATCATTCTGGACCCCCTGTAAATCTATGGGGTCTGGAACAAATCAATATGGCATCAACATGGAGGAGCTCACAGGTCAGTACCCGTGTCCTGGTACTAGTATGGAGCCACATGGAACAGAGCCCAGAAGGTCTGGAACGAGATATGGAAACACGGGCGGGCGTCCTGATCCGCACCAAACATAAAAGGAAAATGCAATGCAAACTTCTGAACTTGTCTCCAGGATTTGAAAGTATTTGTATCCGTTCCCTCAGTCCTGATGATATGCTCATCTCCTTTGCTGGCAAGAGATATAACAATGGGCGTTGTGACGTTGAGGCAGGAGAGCTCCGCCAAACCTTTGACAAAATGCTTAAGCCCCAGGCCCTGAATTGGATGCCCCAAAACACTAAGCCTTGATCCCCAATTTTCAAACCCTCCACGCTCACCCCCCGCCAACCGACATCCTAAACCTTTGTTCAAACATCGTAGTTTCTCATAATCTAGACCTTGATCCCCTAAACTCTATAAACCATGACACCCCAACCCCCCAAGCCCTTAAGCTTAAACACTGTAACTGTAGACCCTAAACGCCGAAGCCCCAAAGAACTAAACCCAAAACCCCAAACCCCGCCGACCCTAAATCCCTCCAAAAAAATCCCTCCATGAGGGCCTGCCGCCTCCTCCTTCGCCTTTCTGAGCGCTCGGAGCGCTCCGAGACGCCCTGGCTGAGCTCGTCGGAATCCTAGCGCACATGTGGCCCCCAAAATGGAGAATCTGCTAGAAAAGCAGATGGAAAATGCCATGGAAACTGGGATTAAGTTGGAGATCATTGGGACTATGGAAAGTAGGAAGCTACATGATTGCCAAGGATCGGAGGTTGAGGGTTTGGGGTGTTTTAGCCCCATGGACCCTGTTGTCACTGCCCCAAGAGCATGGGATATCTCACACGGCGAGATTTTACCCTTTCACTCAGTAGGGTTGAGATTTTGGGGTTTGGGGTTTGCAGTTTAGGGTCTGGGGCTTGGGTTTGGGGGATTCATGGGCTTTGTTTGGGCTGCGATCAGGCAATAAAGGTCTCCAGGGGCTTCACGTTCTCGGAGGAAGGTTGCATTAAGGAAATGTTGAGGATTAGTGGCCAAGGAATTTTGGGGATCAGGGCTCAGGGCTGAGAGCACGTGAGTTAAGAGACTAGGGTTGAGGGACTCATATCGGGCGGACAGGACGGGCTTAGAGATGTTGACGGCAAACATCCTGCATGCCTCAAGTTAGGACGTAGCGACACAGGGCAATTCATGAACGAGAGTGAGTGGTGTGTGCTTATCTTGTGCATAGAAGCACACAGCTGAGTTCTGCAAGACCTTGGGGGAAATTATGCGAAGACTCTGCTAGTTGGCTATCTTGAGATACAGCCGACCGTGGGTTCGTTAGGACTTTTGCAACAAGCAGTGCTAAGTACCTAAAGAACGATTATCGTTATGCCGAAGCCACAAACGAGGGGGGGGACAGCTAAGGGAGCTGGCCTACTGTCTCCATTTCTTGGAGTGCTGCTGTTAGAAGCTGTACCGCCGTATGATGTGGGGTTTCCACAAACCTGGGTGTCACTTAGAGGGTTCTGGTAGCAAGGCTCATCTTGTTGAGCGTCAACATAGTACGATTGTAAAACCCTTTTTAACCTTGCATATATGTATGCTCCTTCTAAGCCAAAACCCAGCAAAAACCAACTGGGCTGCGTACGTGACGTCTGCGCGAGCGTCGCCGGGAGCCTGAGTGAGAAATCACTCCCGTAGTTCCCCCCTCTCCTGTTTCAGATTGAATCGAGGGAACAGAATGCGCAACGCACTTGCAAGAGAGGAGACGCACAACATGAGGATTCCTAGCAGCTGGCTGGTAGGGCCCAGCTGGAAGGAATTCTCGCAGACCCGAAACCCTCAACCTCCGTATGTCTGTCAAGGAGCGCTCAGATGTGCGGCCATCGACGGTCTCAAGGCAGAAAGGGCGTGGGGCTGACAAGCATCAAGGTTACTAATCAAAAACCAACTATGATTTTAAAATTTTCCTGTACTGGAACTAACTCAATGTTAATACGCTCTGCTTCGTTTCGGAGACTGGGGCTTTGTAGAAGTGTTTCAGTCAACTCACCCTCAGTTCTGACTTCGCTGAACTTGAAACTTTGGTCTGCAGGTCTGCCGGGTGGCAGTGACTTGCTGCTTGTCTAAAACTGCTCTTGTATAACCCCCATGAGGTGGTCATTTCCATTTGTCCGTATGACCATTAATTGTAGTTTGTTCCATCCCTTCATGCAACACTAGCAACCAGCAAGGTGAGGAGCGGCATTGAGTCACTGCTAAAATAGTAGAAGTAGTGGTAGTGGTGGTAGTAGCAACAGTAGTAGAAGCAGCAGCTCGTGCTGCTGCTGCTAGAATGGCAGGAGTTGCAGTAGCAGCAGTAGTAGCCTGGTACTTAAGACTACGAATAACGATACGAATACCAATCATGATAAGAACGTCAATCATGCCAACACCCAATAATGATAATACTACTAATCATACGAATACCAACAATGATAATCAAACGAACAATCCAGAATAATATCAATGAAGATACTCATACTGTTTATTCTAATGATTACCCATCATGATGATAATCGTACTGCAAATGCCACCTTGATCACCCCTCCAGACCCTGCCTCGGCCTCAGTGCTGGGCCTCCGCGACAGGGGCGGGGAGGCCAATATGGAGCTAGCCTCGGCAGCCTCAAAGCACGAGGTTCAGTGGGAGGTTTTAGGGTTTAAAGCTTGAGGATTGGGGTCTAGGGTTCACTGGTTTGAGGTGTAGGGAGTAAGGTTTGGGGGCATTAGGGCATAATTATGGATGTTTGGCCGGTTTAGGGCTTCAGTACCCAGGACTGCTGAATTTCCAAGCCCTTTGGTCCATAGCAGGAACGTAGTGTGGACCAGCCATACTTACGCCGCTACCGGCAAAGGCTGTGAATATATACTTGGAGGAGGAATGGCTTCGGAAAAAGCAAGTTGATTCAATCCATAGCTCCTCGTCATCCATGTTGCCGGTAAGAGGAAGTGCCCTCCTGATCATAGTGTGTCTTCAGCACCACACTTTCGCATGCTCACTGCTACTGCTGCTAGCAACGCATTAGTCAGCATGGGACTTGCTGCTGTCTTCTCTGCACCATACTCGGCGATATCAGAATATCTACAACTACTTCATAGTGTTTGTTGATATTATGACTTGTATTCTGATCACTCGAATGTCTGGACTGTAGACCTTGAAGCCATGAGCAGACTTGATCTGACTGACAAGCGCCACTTCTCAGAAAGGCGCCACGTGGGCCACAACATCTTCCATCTTCAAATGCCCCCTGAAAGCTGCAAGCCATGAACGAACGGGCTTGGACACCAACAACAAGCAGAGAGGAAGGTGACAGTTGCATCCACACCCTCCATATTGGAATCTCTCTCATGCTACCAAATCCTGTAATAGCGGGTTCCCAGCAGAATCCCGCGAAGAGACGTGGTTGTCCACCTCCACGCTCTCCGGGAGTTTCTGCCGCCTGCAAACAGCCACTTGTCAGGAGATCTGAACAACTTCTATGAAGCAGTAGACAAGGCGAGCATGGCAATCACAGCTGAGAAGCAGGAAATGAGATTTCGCCTCCAAGCGTAGCAAGGAATCAGAAGAATGACGGCGCAACAGCTAGTCTAGACCCAGAGGTTCTAGAGAATGAGCATGCTCGCCTGGCACGCATGAAAGCACACCGCAATTTCAAAGAACAGCACGGACAACAAGCGTGCAACGCATCCCGTGCGTAGTCTTGTAGCCAGGCAGCCCTCCCAATATCACGAAGTGACGGAGCAAGAGCAATTTGTATAAACGCAGTAAGTCTGACAACAGTAACAATGTACACTCAGGTTTCCTCTGCGCTCCAGACCCCACCTTCGTCCACACCCCTTTCCTGTGCAGCATTGAAGCCCGTTCCGCCCCACGTACACCCAATCTAAATTCCTATAGGGCCCCTTTTCACCCTTGCGCCCCTGCAGTCACCACACGGTCCCCGACGGAACACACCCGTTTTTTACGACGATGTGATCTTGCAGCATTCAAAGACTCTGGAGATCCTGTCAGCATCGGAGATGTCCAGGTCTGTCGGCAATGACGACCTTTGGAAATTCTCGAAACCGGACCCTGGAGAATATGAAGGGAGTATAGGCCCCTTGCGAACATTCTACCCATTTTGTTGACAGCTTACCACATTATTCTGCCATGATCGCGGCAAGTGTCAGCATCATTGGATCTCTACTAAGACTGGGTGAAGACCATGTTGACTCTTCGCATTGATGACACGGACCTGCTCTATAATCAGAAACCAAATCCGATCTGCATGGAGAACCGTCAGTGAGCACCAACTCCACGGTGAAGGCTCCAATACAGGTTTAACATAACATTGCTGAAGCCATGTCTGCCAGCAGCCTGTATCGACGTGAGATTTGCAAACTTGTGCCTTGGAAAGTACCCTAGCGGCATGCATATGTCCCCACGCAATCCACACGCAATCCTAGTAAAGATCCTGCAGAATCCATATTCGAAATTCGTGCACGGATATTCTAGCTGTAGCCAACGACCATGGGCAAAGACTCATAGGCCCCAAATTCACCAGCTTTCGCATCTCAAGACTTCGCAATTTTCTCAATAATGGGTACCGTTGTTGGGAACCACGGGAAAATCTTGATCAACGATTGTGGAGACATGATTAGAAGTAGATCCGATTGAGGGCCGAGCCGACTGCTGCGTCGACTGCCCTGCACCACATGGGCGGGGGGATTACCAAGCAAGGGTGTCTCTAGGTTCAAGGATTTTCCCTCAACCTTGCCTCTTGCTTACTTCAATCCACCTGGTTAGTCTACTGACTTGGGGATATTCGTTGTCAGGGGGTTGGGGGGTTCATTGTTAGCCCCAAAACCCCTCGACTGGGAGAACCGATGTCTTTCCACATGAGTCCCAAGATGATATTTCATCCTTCTCAGTAAATCACATGGAGAGTACAAATAGAAAAATGAATGGAACCTGGGGCTATGTAGGTCGGATTTCAAGTTTTCAGGCTCAGGGTTTAGGGTGTCATGATAGCTGCAAGTACTCATTCTCGCATCCCTGGCAAAGACATGATGACAGAGTATGTTTGCTCTCAGGTAGCTGAGCCCTGAACCTTAGACTGAGGACCCTGAAGCCACAGACCGTGGACTCCAGACTGTGTGCCTATAGCAGTTGCCAACACCTCCGGAGTTTTAATCAGTACGTATACGGAGTGTCCTTGTGGGGGAGACCATACATGAAACCTTATCATGTGTGACAGTGATGTTTCACGTGTTTGTGAGACATTTCAAGTTACGCGATCTAATCCTCCAGGCTTCCAACGCGCCATCCAATATGAGTGACAACATAGTATTATGTTAGCTGCAAATTCTGCTCTGCGCGTGTCATTGCCTGGATTGCAATCTTTTTGTGGGTCGATATCATGTCCGTACTACTGACATGGGTCTGTCACGCAAAAGGTTGCCGGCCAACATGTAGAATCCTTCCAGGGTGCTCCTATAGTCCTTTTAGCATCCCTATATGTCCTTGTCCCTGGGGCCCCAAGAGCTCCCCGGTGTTGAGAAACTCTAAGCTGCAATCCAGAAAACGACAGCGATGTTCAGAATACATCTCACAAGAAGTTTAAACTTGAGTTATAACACAGTACAGCATACAATGACTGTATACAAGTCATAAGCGGTAGCATAGGTAACTCTTCGGGTTCCTACCTTGCCTCTTGGCTCCCGCATCTCCAGCCGTGCCTCCCGCCGATGACGCCTGCTGCCACGGCTGTCGCCTGAAAATCTTGCCACGCAAAGCGGCAAAGCAGGAAGGCATGCCCTATATATATATATATACATTACCTATTTAGATACCCAAAATGTCCTCCTTAGAGGGACTCCCAAAACTCTGGCGGTGTGCCCGGATTCCTGGGGACATGAGGCTTGTGTTTTAGCATGAGGATACGTGGATCTCTTGCGCTGGGCCCCCTTCTGTAGCAGAAGAACTCTGCACATTTGAGGTTGCATGGGGGGTCCTAAGCACCCATACGGAGCTCATAACAAGCTCAACAAAATGCGAAATGAATTGCGGGTAGAGACTCCTCAGAACAGCTCCGGTCCTGGCATCCTCCAATTTGGAAATAAGGGAGTATATGGGGGTTATATAGGGAGAATGAAAAAGACAATGAACTGCTACATTATAATAGGGTATATATTGGGGCTATAGTAGGGAATAAGGAAATACATGTTGCCCTTTGTGCGTGGGCATTCGAGTCCATGAGTCAAGTGTGCGGCGTGCTGAGGTTTGTTCACCATCACCTGTCCACATTCCACAAAGTTAGCCTCAGACCCTCGGCTAGCACAAACCAGCTACCAACACAAGTGACCTCCTTCAAGGCAAGTGTTCCTATTTGACGTTGACAAATACTTACTTTCTTGCAACTCACCTGCCAATTTCCAGAATACGCCCGACGAGACTCAAACATCGTGGCCTCAAAATGAGAACTTGAAGCGCATTTGAGGCAATGCTCGCGTAATGAAGCGAAAACAAGACCATGCGAGAACGGTAGTACTTGTTCGGGCTTCTGTAGTACAGGCCCTTTTAGGGGTTGCAACACTTCCCCACCCCGCAAAGGTACCCTGAGGGTTTGACCTAATAGGGGCTATATAGAGCTCAAGGCTGCAGAGCACCGGGCCTCTTCGAAGCTCCGTGGGAGCTTCGGGATCCACCTTCGCAAATTAGTGCCCTCTATCAGAAATTTGAAATAAAAACTGTAGGAAATTACCTGCCTCTATCTTGGGCTTTCCCCTACCTAGTCATGGACAGATGCCTTGTGGGATTGTCCTGCTGTTTGGTCTCTGCCAAACTGAAATCCTCGCGCATCCCTTAGCTTTACCTAGACCTCCCAGAAGCCTGTATTGGTGGCATTCAACCCTCTTTTCCGTCTGAGTCTCCACCTCTTAAGCATTGTATAATCCCTACTTATCTTATGTGATCCTCACAGTGAGGACCCTAAACCCTAAATCCTAAGTGGGAGCCGCGCCTCTGCATCTGCACTTCGCTGGAACCTCTCAGGGGCCTCATGCTGAGCCTGCCATGTCACAGTTTCGTAATTACAGACTTTTGGGTGGTTTAGGCTTTAGGGTGTAGGGCATAAGGTTTAGGGTCTAGGACCTAAGGCTTAGGCTTTAGGGTTCTTATACAAGTCGTTCACTGGTCATAGGGTCCTCATGATGGGGGTTGTGAACACGAAAAACTTGTTACTGCAGTTTGCACGTTTGGGAGGAAAAAAGACGTCTGAAGAGTACGGATCTTTTTCTAGGGGGCTTTATGTTTACTGCCTGTTAGTAGGAAATGAAGGAATGGATCCCTGTAGTAGCTCCTCTGTTTTATCTGATAGCTTCCATTGCGGCTTCCATTCCGTCATCCCGACTAACCACCGGTAAGTGTGGAGTTCCAGTTGATTTGAGCCAGGGAGGGTCTGAGATTCATCATTTGGAGTTTCGAACCTGAGGTAGGGTTTGGAGCTGCCTTTGTCCAAACGCTGCCAGTTGAAAATGTGCAGGCAACAGAATGAAGTAGAAGCCTGAGCCATTGCCAACCCCATCACCCGCTCATAACCACAGTATAATGGATCCCAAAACCTTGTTTAAGATGAATATCTGGGCCCCAGGCATCTGCCATGTTGGCAGGTAGCGCTGCTGGAGGCAAAACCTCGCAACTCAGAAAACATACCGCTGGTTAGCAAGGAATGAAGAATCGGATCCTTGTTTGTATAGGCGTGAGGATTAAGGAATGCATCCTAATAGCAATCCCTATATGCTCTTCATAATCAAGTAGTTTCCATGTTGTTTTCCATTGCTTCATTCCCTGCTAACCAGTAGGGAAAATGTTTATGAAGAAATGCTATACGCTGCATGTTGCAGTGTCGCTTTCGTGGAGTGATCGTTAGCAAGCAAAGGTTGCTCCACGAGCAGCTACAACTCTCGACCCTCCGCATTGACGGCTACATGTGACGCACATAAGCAAGAAAAAAATCGCACATACCCAGCAAGGTCACTGACTCTAAACATAAACGCCTGCAGAGTAAGTCTAAAGTCTGAAATCCTGGACTTCATCCTGAACCCTAAACCCTAGACCCTCAGCCCCACACCCTAAACCCTAAATCCGAAATCCAAGCCACGAAACCCTGAAATCCGACAGCCCAACAACGTAAAGCGCGCTTGGAAGATCACGGATGTTATGTGCAGGCTTACAAACATGCTGACCATAGTCAGAACTAGCAATAACCTCTTTAAAGGCCCTATCTGCAACTGAAACTTTCTGAAAATAGGGATACTTGGAAAGCTGAAGGAGCCTGGAGATGATTCTTCTCATAAACTCCCTAGTATCCATCCACGGGTCCCTTAAAAGGGGTTATAGGGGGATATACAGGGATATTAGGGGATTATGTAGGGGTGCATAGGACCCAAATAATAGGGTCAAGTTTTCCCAACAGTAAGTCAGCATGCCTGAGCCGGGATTGGATCTCGGCCCTGCTGAGGCCAGCCTGTGCGAAGAAACTGTATTTCATGCCTAGGGTCTAGGGCTTAAGGGCGGCTAAGGATTTTGCATTCAAGTTTAGTGTCTGTTCAGGGTTTAGATTTGGTTTAGAGGTACATGGTAGGATGCCAAAAATACACACCAAGATTCCTAACAAAAAACTGTATGCACTCACCAAGGCTACAATAAAAGCATATAAGCCATACTTATTGAAGGTTAAGTGATGAAGGCTTCAGGCTTACGGGGCATGGACCTCACCTCTGCCGTAGCCCCTTGAAAATCTCAGTGATGATCCCTAGAGCACTCCCTGAAACATGAGTAAGAAAATCTGCGCAAGACTGTGTCGGAAGGGCAAACTTTCTGCATGGCATAGGGTTTTGGCCTCTGGTGTTCAAGTTTGGGCAGCTGGTTTAGGTCTGAAGCTCGGCTTAAGGGGTGAGTGATTTTATACTCAATACAGAAGTGGTAGAACTGTAGTTTTGGGCATGTCGATGTCTAGACAGTCGAGAATGGACTCAAGGATCAAGTTTAAAATGCCTATGAAGCCATCCGCGTACACCTGGAGCCCTTGGCCTACCCACAGACCCTCACGCTGAAATAAAATCAAAATTAGTATAGGGGTCCTACAGTGACCCTCAGGGTCATGGCGATTATGTCCGCCCACCTCTGATAGAAGGCTGTGCCTCACAAAGGCAGAACGCACACAAAGGCAGAGCGCATAGTCTGAAGCACTGTGAGGCTGATGGGTTGGGGATGATGGTCTGGGTAATTCTGCTCTTGGATTCAAGCAAAAGATTTCAGGGCTTAGGATTGAGCATGCTTCGAGGACTTGGGCAACAGGGTTCAGAGCTTCAGGTTTACCACTTGGCTGCTCCTCAAAGCCCTTCTGGAAGTTTGCAACGCGGCAAGCCAAAACATCGCTCCTAGACGCCCGGAACCAGTAGGGGTGGCAACCTGTACGAAGACCTACAACCCAACTACGACAAGTACAGTGCTCGAGATTACATATGCCGTGCAAGTGCAGCCTTAATTAGCCTTTAGCTACCTTCAAGGCCCAAGCAAGGTTGAAGTTGAAGTACTGAGAGGCTGGGACTCTGCTAGACGTCAGTGTCATAGAGGGGAGCTCCAGGGCTTTGCGTTCAGGTTGGTTGATTGCTAAAGGTTTAAGCAGCTACTCTAAAGGTGCAGGTCTCAAACCCTTGTCCTACCCATGGCTAAGACGGACGCCAAGTTACCTCTTATTTTCCTGAGTCGTCTATGTTTGTTGGGGTGGCTGTCGCCCACTTTGTTGGGTATGAGTGTAGGATCCACATCGCATGAGCAAGTATGCCCCGCCATCTGGGGGGAGGACAGCGTGTCGTGACTCTTGTTGCTAAGACTTACACTCCGGAGACGCCAAATGTTGATCAGGATTGTAAATTTGGATGGGTGCAGATTCCCTACTGTAGCAATGTAGAAGCCAAAGTTATTACCAATATCATCGCCATGACTATACAAGGAATCTAAACCAATAATACTAGCGATTATTTATGGCCGTTGCCATACTCGATGGCATTCCTAGGCTTTCTGTCGCTTATCCCCATCACTACTTTGGGGTTTAGGGCTTAGGGATCAGCACCAACACAACTAGATAACTAGACAGCAACCTCCCATCCTTCTGAGAGTTCCACGCTTAGGGTCTAACTGAATAACATGGCAGAGCTGTCCTCCAAATGCCACTGACAAAAAACTCAGGCATGGCCCTTATACTATTGTAGGTTCCATTTTCCTTTTCATTATCCTTATATAGCCCCAATATACTATAGCAGCTTCCATTTTCGTTTCAATTGTCCCTAAGAACGAAGCTTCAGTACTGCACTGGGCTGCGGGCCTGCTCCTTTGAACGAAGGCTGGGCACCTCCTTCCAAACACCCACTTGATTTTCTCATAGTATACTAGTTCCAAAAAGAGGATGTAATGCAATCTTACCGCTCACTCGATTCTCTGGGATGGATCCTTTCGGAAGAGAAAAACTGGCTGCAGTCTTCAAACTTCCCAAACTAGAAGCGGTAATTATCCCGAAGCTTTGAATCACTCAAACCCACAAGTTCGGGAATCTACTGCCAAAGGTCCAAAAACAAAGCCCTTTGTAAAAAAGGGAAGCAAGAAATGATGAAGAGAATTTCTGGGAGGGGAGATGATGGTCGTAAAGATATTCGGGCAAGCTTGAGGGCCGCCATGACAACGATGATGCTTTGCATTTACGAGTGCATTAATTTCCGCCATGACTTCTGAAAACTAGGCCCCGACACCATGCAGGACTATCGAGCTTACAAATAACCATCATAGCTGTGACAGCCACTACCTGCCCCTCATAACTCATGATCCGGGGGGTCTTGATGGGGGCTTTGGGAGGGACGCTTATACTAGCATTTACATGTATAGCCTCCGCAAAAGGATGCTGCATAGAAGCACTTGCCAACATTCCTTGAGAGCCTTATTAGAAATCATTCAACTTGCTTGAAGAGAAACACGGGGTTTCCATAAATAGGGAACCACCAGTATAGATCGCAATGTACTGTAGGCCTTACTCCATGGTACTCAGGGTACCCTAAACAGGAAAAAACGACCGTCACCTGAATCCCTTTGAAACGGGGCCTGTGGCCACAGAGGTTCCGCCGTCAACGCCATGCGCCTCGGAAGAAGACGTTCCAGAAAAGAGAACTTGAGTTTTAGGGTTCAGGGTTTAGGGCTTAGAGTTTAGGAGGGGTTTCCAAAAATCAGCAGTACGGAGCCTATACATCGGGATATATATGTGTATATGCATATATATGTATGTGTGCATGCGAGCATGTATAGGGTGCAGGGTTAAGGGGTTCCTGCTTGGGCATCTATAGAGAGCACTCTACCATATTGGGGTACACAAGGAGTTGAGTCTTTCATGGAAACTGCAGTTTGGGGAATGCTTGGGATTTCTCAAAAAGTGGGGCCCAGACCGTGGTCCATTTTGAGCAACGAACGTAGGGTTGAGCTTAAATTGCGTAAGGGGTTTTGGAATTTTGCGTACAGGATTCAGGAGTCAGTGTCTAGGGCAAGCCGGCACAATTACCCATGCAAATCTTTGTCAAAATCCTAGTCCCACTATGAACCATTCCTGGGCAGAAAAGCTCCACTGACAAGACGCATACCTTCGAGAAATTCCCTAAGAGTCCCTAAGATCCCTAAATAAGGGGACCCCAGTATAACCCAGAATACTATTATCCTTAATCTGGGCGCCCCTCAACTGATACGCCTAATTTCGTAAAACCCCAAAACCCTGAACCCTAAACTCTATATATTCCTATGTACCCAGTATATACCCTTACAACTACAACCGCGTTAAAGGGACCCCGAATTTTGGGAAGCCCCTTTCTACTTCCCTAGAGCTCCCCGAATGATTGGCCACAGCAACCTCTGCCCTGGGTTGCCCACAACGGAGACGGCGAGCTTGCCTGCCATGCGCCAAACACGGCCACGTGAATCCAAAGGGTTTTGATATCCTAGGGTTTAGGGGTTCAGGGGTTAGGGTGTAAGGATAAGAGGTTAAGGATTAGACAATTGCCTTTCCTGTTTGCTGTGGCAGGTATATTTAGCCTGGCCAGGGAAGATACAAAGAGTTCAACGTAGTACACCGAACACTGGCCGTTTTGCACTCCCCTCCCCCGAATATTAAAACCCCCCTGCCCCCACATATTACATATTCCCATTGTGGTATATATATATATGTCTATATATATATAAAGTCGGGAATATCTAATATTAGCCGGGTGGGGGTTGAAATATTAGGGGGAGGGAATTAATCTGGGAGACACAAGGACCGGAGCTATGGCAAACTCCAGGCCTTCGTAGGAACATGGAGCCTGAGGAGTTGCTTTGCAGCGTGTGCAAGGGCTCCCATTTCCACTTGCTGCGGTGCTTTGGGGGTATAGTCTCCCTTCAGTAGATAGAATATGGGATATATGGGGATCTTATTATCAAATACTCAAAGCCATGTTCTATCTACTTAAGGGGGACTATAAACTCCTCCATCCTGAGCCCTATACCATAAACCCTATGGCAGCCGCATTAATCTGCAATTCTTTTAGGCACCCAAAACGTGAAATCAAGCCAGACAACCCCCAAGA